CTCCATTTGGTGCTTGGCTGAGTTCTTTATCTCTTCATTTGATGTTTTAGGGTTTCAGGATTGTTGTATTCTCTGTTTGGCTTAGTTTTTCGGATCTTTGCTGTGGAGGGACGGCGTGGTGCTTCTGCCTAGAGCGCCATTTTGCCGAGTCTCCTCGACATCTGTTTTTTTAACTGTTAAATCCCCAGTTCTTAAGAACTTGGCATATGGAAAGTATCCAATAAATATTTGCTAAATGAATGTTAAGTGAATGAATGTATGAAAGAAGTAAACAGGAAAATCTGAAATTCTAGCTAATAGTTGAATTTTGGAAGCTCAGCTATTTACATAGACAGAAATTAGAAGTTTTCTTTAGAATTCATTTCATCTTATTTTTAGATTATTAGTTTTAGCCTTGTATTACAACTTTCGAGACCTTAGAATAGTAAGCAACTCACTAAAGTAAAAGTTCTGAATTTGCATTTAGCAATCAATATCTTTATCCAATATGGTTTCACATTTCAGACTGAAAAATCATATGAAGATTTTCAGTGTCAACAATATGTTCAGCCTTAGTCATATCAGAATTTAGAGTTCCAGATTAAAATTCACTGACACGTTGTTGAGAGTGTTAGATTGTGTCCATATTAAACATTTTTATAATACAAAGTTATTCAAAAGTTAGAGCCCTAGGAGGTCTAGAGTTTGTAAAAAAAAAAAAAAAAAAAAATTTATATTAGACTTCAATACTTCACCATACATAGGTCATCATTTTGAGTGAAATCCCTGTGCGAAATACAATGGTCATTTAATGAGTTATGGATATCAGAGGTACCAACCACACGATAAATGCCTCATTCAATTGTAATAGAGTCACAACTGTTCTACAGAAAAGAGTTCCAAACAGTCCTTTCATCTATAGATGAAAAATATGACGATTTTTTTTTTTTTGGTATACTGATTCTATCTTATAGCCCTGGGAGTGCATTAACATTTAGCTTATTCTACAGTAGTACAGTTTGAATTATATATATTGACTTTTACCTTTTTAGAACACTCTATTGAAATAATTATACTGATAATGATCATTTTCTTTATACATTATTTCTTTAATTTCAGCCTTCTCAATCTTTCAGTATTCATTTGAGCTCTTCCTATCACTTTTAGCTTACAGGGAAGGTAAACCAGTTGACTTAATTTTTTTAAATTAGAATAATTCTACTACTTGTTTCTTTTTTTTTTTCCTATGCTAAATCACAGAGAATGCAAGATGGATATTGAAGACAAAAAGCAAGAACTCCTTGAAATGGATCAGGCACTTAAGGAGAGAAATTGGGAGCTAAAGCAAAGAGCAGCTCAGGTTGGTTTTCGTGTTGTTGTTAGGTACCATCGAGTCGGTTCTAACTCATAGCAGCCCTGTGTACAACAGAACGAAACACCACCCAGTCCTGTACCATCCTCAGAATCGTTACTATGTTTGAGCCCATTGTTGCAGCCCCTGCGTCAGTCCATCTGGTTGAGGGTCTTCCCTTTTTTTTTGCAGATACTCTACTTTAGCAAGCATGATAGTCTTCTTCAGGGACTGGTCCCTCCTGATAACATTTCAAAAGTATTGCTATTCATAAGGCTTTCTCTGGCCAATTTTTTCAGAAGTAGACTTCCAGGTCCTTCTTCCTAGTCTGTCTTAGCCTAGAAGCTCTGCTGAAACCTGTCCACCAAAGATGACCCTGCTGGTATTTGAAATACCAGTGGCAAAGCTTTGAGTATCACAGCAACATGCAAGCCACCATAGTACGACAAACTGACAGACGTGTGATGGTTTCTTAATTATATTTTAATACAATTTTTTATTATGACACAGTCACACAGGGTTTCAGTGTTCACCAATTTTTGGTAAAGTGGGCATTTTTATAGCATATTTGTTTTCTGTGTACATATATTTAAAAATTAGAAACATATAATCTCTTCTTACACCATTTGTACAGCAAGTAGATTTTTGAGAATGAGGTTTAGCTTAGTATCTGAGTCTTTTGATCTCATATTACTCTATCAAAAGAAAATGGGGTTAAATAAGGAGTTACTTGCTCAGTTAAGTGTTGGAGCAACAAAAATATCCAGAAGGTATTATTTAGCTATTTTTATACAGTATGAAATGGAGTCTGAATCATTTGCTTGTCATTTATGAACATGATCATATGTTTTCTGTTGGTTTCTATAGTATATATGGGCTCATGATCCAATATTATTAAGCAATGATTATTTTCCCTATTCTTTTGAATACAGCATATGAGATGAGTTAAGTTATACCCACCATAAACAATTCTAAAACACTTTCAGTAACTGCATTCCAAGCACACACGTTTTCAATTCAGAACAGAATCGAACAGCATTTAATGTTAGTTTTGTATTTAGGTTACACATTTGGATATGACCATTCGTGAGCATAGAGGAGAAATGGAACAAAAAATAATTAAATTAGAGGGTACTCTGGAGAAATCAGAACTAGAACTTAAAGAATGCAACAAACAGGTAAATTATGAAAAATGTTTCTCGTTTTAAATTGTTTAGCTCCTTAACCGTATATATCCACTATTCACATAAATATGACTTTTTATAGAACGTATACAGTAAAACCACTCCAGTCTAAAGAGTCTTGTACATGCTACTTTATTTTTCTCCTCTTAATGTTATTTTGAATATAGTTTTTCTTGTATCAATATATCCACATATTTATTATAATATGTGCATATATCTGAATATGTATAGAATAGTATTTAGAAGGATTTGCAAGTAATTCTGGTATCAGTGCTTGCCTCTGAGGAGGGAACATAATGGGAAAAGGGACTTTCTTTTTACTAACTTTGTGCCTCATGTACATATTACCTATAAAATTATTTGTGGTCATATAACATTCATTGTTTTTTTGTTGTTGTGTGCTGTTGAGTCGTTTCCAACTCATAGCGACCCTATAAGGACAGAGTGGAACTGCCTCATAGGCTGTAATCTTTACCAGAGCAGATCACCAGATGTTTTCTCCCACAGAGGGCTGGTGGATTCAAACTCCTGGCCTTTTGGTTAGCAGCTGACGCTTAACCATTGTACCACCAGGGCTCCTTCCTTTGTTATTTTAATATACCCTAATTTTCTTCTTATACAAATGTGATTGAGACTTTCATCTTTTTTTAGTATATTAGGTGTACATATAAGCATCTTATTAGTCATAAAAATCTTATGTTTATTTCCAAGCTATGGGTTATCTTAAGAAAAACATATTTTTATATTTTGCTTCTTTTAGATATGAGTGTTTAAAGCTTGACTTACTTGGAATGCAGCTGTGATTAAAGAATTATCTTTCCTTAGTTACCTTAACATTGATCATCTGTTTAAAATTCAGATAGAAAATTTGAATGAAAAATTACAAAATGCCAAAGAACAGCTTCGAGAAAAAGAGTTTATGATTCTGCAAAATGAACAGGAGATAAGTCAACTGAAAAAAGAAGCTGAAAGAACACAACAAAAGATTAAAGAAATGGAAAGCGTAAGCAAATTATACGAGTAGTATTCTCTGAAGAGTAAAATAAGGTTTTAAAATGGTTCATGTTAGTATACAGAAACTATGCCATAAATATTTATTTAGACTGTTTATTTGTATCTTTGACCTTGTGAAATATTTTATTCTGATGGTCTATGTATTGGCAAGGCAGTGTCTTACTTATCTTTGTATTCCCTGCAGGTACTGGTATGGTATATATCACTTAGTAAATCCATAGTATATGCTCATTTGGTCAACAAATATTTATTGAGAAGCTACTATGTAATAGATCTGAAGATACAGATATTAATAAGATACAATCCTTTGTCCTTGAGGAACTCCTTCTAGAGAATGAACAGATGATTATTGTACATTATTGAGGCCTAGTGCATTACTGAGTTACCAGATGAAGTCTGATGACTTCATATTATCAGATTTCATGTCTATTGACTGGTGGACCCATTCCACTTATTGCCTTTTTGAAAAGTGAATTTGCTTCTTAGGGCTTCTTGTGAGTGTAACTTTTTCTTGTTTTTAAATACTGTACTCAACTTTAAAACTTTAGCCCTTAATTGTATTTAACTAACTGACTGACTGATTGATTACCCCTCTCCCCGACTAGAATATAAATTCCGTATGGGCAGCCATTTTATCTCCATTGTTCACTGCTATATATCCTCAGCACCTGTGGAACAGTGAGTGTATGTCATATAGTAAACAATAATTGTTGAATTATGTATATAAATCAAGCAGAGTCTGTGAGAACAAGTTTGGACCCCAGTGAGAAAAATGATTACTGGCCCAATCATTTCAGGTTCCCTAATAAGTACTGATTAAAAATATTTATATGATATTTATGTTAATATGTAACATAATTGGACCCTGGACCCCTGTTCCAGTATCAGGGCCCTAGTAATTTGTACTGCTTTCTTTCCCTCTTGTTAGTCCTGAGGTCAGGGGCCATAACCTGCTGTGCAAACCAGTCCAGTGAGATGAAGGTCACCCACTTCTCATGCCAGATTGTGTGATCCATAGCAAATCCTACTCTACATTTCAGCTGCATTCTATGGAACTCTCAGCTTCCCTTCTCTGTTCAGTTCAGAATAGAGCTACTCACTCAGTCCTTCTTTCTTTCATCCCTAGCCATCCATGGGTGGGTTATCAGGTACCATCCACAAGCTCAGGGGTCCACATGACTCCTTCCACTTCAGATCAGCTGGCCCCCACTACTCCTTTGGGTTCAGTAATTCACTGAAATGACTCACAGAATTCACAGAGAGTATACTGTATACTTCCTACAGATTTATTACACCAAAAAGGATGTAAATGAAGAAATGCATTGGGTGAGGTCTGGGATGGATCACAGTATGGAGCTTCTATGTCCCAAAGAACAATGTGCTACCCTCTTCTATGTATGGTCACCAGTCAGGAAGCTCCTCTGAGCCTCCATGTTCAGGGCTCTTATCAGTCTCACCACATGGCCATGATAGATTATATCATGCCTTGTGAGGCTTAGGCAGCATTGTGCCCCCAGGTGGTCCTTCTTGGTCTGGTCAGCCCCCATTCATTAGCCTCAGGTGTTGAACAAGGCCAAATGGCTTTATGCAAGGTAATTCTACACCTCGCACCTACCATCTAACCTACCTCCCTCAGCTGGTTTGGAATTACTAACTTGCTCTTCACTGATTTTTTTTTTTTCCTCTAAGAAAAAAAAGTAGGGGGGAGTATCAGCCTCTGTGACATATTTTTCTTTAGCAGAGAATAAGGTCATGGTCTCAACCCAGCTGTGTAAATTATTGATGGGTTTTGACTACCCTTGCCAATATATACTTCATCTTTGACATAAATAATCAGATTTGTTAACTTCTTTTTTTCCTTATATTATTGTATATTCTGTCATAAATTTACATTCTAAATGATAAAAGATTATATAGCAGTCAGCTTGCATATGTTAAAATCATGCAAAAGATGTGAATAAGAGTTCCTGATTGATGTGGTACTTTCATCGTTTTCTTCTCACAAAAGCATAAAACATTTTCTGAATACCACTTTCACAGTGGGTGATACTTCATTGTATGTTAAATTTTATAGGGGTTTAGTTGGGAGGGGAAAATACACTTATTAAAAGAGAAATCAGAATAAGAAACAGATTATCTATATTGTTTCATTTTGAAACTTACAAATATCTTATACTTTTTATTTCCAGGTTATAAAAGAGCAGGAACAGTACATTGCAACTCAGTATAAGGAGACTGTAGATTTGGGGCAGGATTTGAGGCTAACCCAGGAGCAGTTGCAGAACTCTCATACAGAAATGGTGGAAGCTCGTCGTCAACAAGTACAAGCACAGAGAGACATAGAAAGACTCTCAAGTGAACTGGAGGAAATAAAGCAGCTCTCTAAAGAGAAGGTAATTTCTATTCTAAATAATCTTATTGAAGTATTAATATTTTTAACATTCACTTTCTTGAAGTGTATAATAGAATTCTTGCAAAAATTAACGGCGTTATATTTAGCCTAATTTTGTAATGTAATTAGGAAATCTCTCAGAACTGAGTTTCGGCCAAACTCATTAGTTTTCAATAAATTGATTTATAAGGCATTTTTAGACTTTTAAGTGAGTTTACACTATCACTTGAAGAAAAAATAGCTAATAAAATGTTTTGAGTAGAAGTTTTTAGATTTGTAGCTGCTCTTATAAATGAAAAGTTATAATCTAAATGTGTAACTTTATGAAACCTGCAGTCTTTAAAAAGCAAGAGCACTAATATGAATTATATTTCTTCAGTATTTGGTAGAAGGTTAACAACTTGGCTGAAAGATATTTAGATTGTTACAATTTGGTTACTGTATTTTTATGAAAATAGCACGCGCCTTCTGCATTTGCTTGGCAGCCCCGCCCTCTACCCCCCCACCACAAGACACTCTCAGAAGCGCTGCCGTGCCAATCCTCTTCCTTGTGTTGCTGTAAAAACAAATTGGCATAGTGTGCTTAGGAAAATACCTTGCGGGGGAGGGGGGGCACAGCCAGCAAACAAACGCAGAAGGCACACAGCATTTGCATAAAATACGATTTCTTACACTTTAAGACAAATGTCCTTATTGATACCCTAGAGAAGTTCTTGTGCGTTTTCTGCCCCCTATTATGGTACCAATTCAGTATAGGAATTGAGTTAAAATATTTTCACCTTTAATTTTGGTTAACCTAACTGTGTTGCTTTTCACATTTCTGCATTGTTAAACTAACAGAGAATATAGGGAATTTTTGTTAGAGATATATTGGGTACTTGGGGTGTACTAGGAAAAGGAAAGCTGTCTAATTTTACCTCATTTCTGTCCTTATCAATAGTGTCTCTAAGTTTAATATAATGAATTTTATCTGATAAATTGATCAAAAAAGTGAGTCATTGTGGAATTATTAAAAAATGATACATTTTTAAAAATATTATATTTTAACCAAAAACTCTAAATATACATTCATGTGTCAATCTTTTGATTCTGGGCCAAAGCCTTGATTTTTTGTACATGGGTCCTTTGATTAGAATTCTACCTACTCAGAGGTGGAATAACCATACTTACATTCCATCATCTATAGTTTCTAATTTTGGTTCCTTTAAAGTGGAGGGAGAATTAAAATATTTGTGAACCAATCAAAGTATAACATTTACTATATTTTTAATGAGGTTTCCCACAATATTTTACAACTATCTTGACTGCTTCTAATTGGGTAGCAGATTTTTGTGTTTCACTTTCGTTCAGCTATTCCAAACTATATAATTTAATTTTCATATAAAATAGCTTTCTTTTGGCATGCATATTTCATCAATATACATAATATATAATAAAATCATGTAATTACAAGCACAACTAGCATAAATAGGTTGAGATAAAAACACAACTGATTCCTGACAAGCAAACAACGTATCTGGTGAGCCAAAGTACACAGGCATACCTAAGTGTAGACTATTACCTGCCAAAGTTCAGCATGCTGCAGTCATTAGTTTTTTCTATAGGAAACATTGGTTAATGAACTTCTATTATATTATGACAGCAGGCAATATACTAACATTCTCCTGTTTAGGAGTCTCTTAAATGTCTAGACTTTAAAGTATACCATTCAATAAGTTAAAGTTGTGTGTGTGTTTATATAATACAAAATATTAAATTATTTCTATTATGTACTGGATTGGTTTAGCTATAATAACTAAATGAACAAGTTATATAGCCTTTACTCAATATGTCATTTTAAGGAAGTTCGTGGAAACCATTTAGCTGAAGAATTGGGGGCTTCTCAAGTACGTGAAGCTCAGTTAGAAGCAAGAATGCAAGCAGAAATCAAGAAATTATCAACAGAAGTAGAATCTCTCAAAGAAGCTTATCATTGTGAGGTAAAAAAAAAAAATTTAATAAGTTCCATTCGCCCTCACTAAAGTGGGTTGACCTATCTGCACAAAACTTTAAGTCTACCTTTTAAGTGTTCATTATACTGGTGTATAATTCATAGTTGTGGTAGCCTAAATATACAACTTTCTCTTCATATCCAGTGAGCTAATATACTGTGGAGTTATGAGCTTGAATTCCTGAGCCAGGAAGACTGGTTTCAAACCCCAGCTCATCACTAAGCAATTTTGTAACCTTGAGCAAGTAATTTAACTTCTCTATCAAAAATGGATATGATAATCATACCTGTCTCATAGGACTGTGGTGAAGCTAAAACAAATTAATATACGTCAAGCTCTTAAACCAGAGCCTGGCTCCTCCTTCTCTTTTTCCTCTATCATAATTGATTATAAAATATCATGTGCCAAAAACTAACTGGAGATATTTAATAACTACAGATAAGCAATTTCACGTGGTGTGAACTGTGTTGTTGTTAGATGGCGTCAGGTTGGATCTGACTCATAGCGACCCTATGTACAAGAGAACAAAACAGTGCCTGATTCTGCGCCATCCTCACAATTGTTACTATGTTTGAGCCCATTTTGCAGCCACTGTGTCAGTTCATCTTGTTGAGGGTCTTCCCCTTTTTTGCTGACCATCTACGTTACCAAGCGAGATGTCCTTCTCCAGGGACTGGTCCCTTCTGATAACATGTCCAAAGTATGTTAGATAAAGTCTCACCATCCTCACTTCTAAGGAGCACTCTGGCTGTACTTGTTCCAAGACAAATTTGTTCATTCTGGTAGTCCATGGTATATTCAATATTCTCACCAACACCATAATTCAAAGGCATCAATTCTTCAGTCTTCCTTATTCATTGTCCAGCTTCTGCATGCATGTGAGGCGATTGAACAAGGGGACACAGCATGGTTTAAAGTCAAGAAAGGTGTGCATCAGGGTTGTATGCTTTCACCATTACTTATTTAATCTATATGCTGAGCAAATAATCCAAGAAGCTGGACTATACAAAGAAGAATGCAGCATCAGGATTGGAGGAAGACTCATTAACAACCTGTGATATGCAGATGACACAACCTTGCTTCCTGAAAATGAAGAGGACTTGAAGCACAGATGAAGATCAAAGAACACAGCCTTCAGTATGGATCACACCTCAATATAATGAAAAAAATCCTCACAACTTGACCAATAAGCAACATCATAATAAATGGAGAAAATATTGAAGTTGTCAAGGATTTCATTTTTCTTGGATCCATGATCAATGCCCATGGAAGCAGCAGTCAGGAAGTCAAACAAAGTATTGCATTGGGTAAATCTGCTGCAAAAGACCTCTTTAAGTTTTGAAAAGCAAAGATGTCACTTAGAGGACTAAAGTGTGTCTGACCCAAGCCGTGGTATTTTCATTAGCCTCATACGCATGCGAAAGCTGGACAACGAATAAGCAAGACCAAAGGATAATTGACGCCTTTCAATTATGGTGTTGGCGAAGAATATTGAATATGCCATGGACCGCCAGAAGAACGAACAAATCTGTCTTGGAAGAAGTACAGCCAGACTGCTCCTTAGAAGCAATGATGGCAAGACTTCATCTCACATACTTTGACATGTTATCAGGAGGGACAAGTCCCTGGAGAAGGACATCATGCTTGGTAAAGTGGAGGGTCAGTGAAAAAGAGGAAGACCCTCAACAAGATGGATTGACACAGTGGTTGCAACAATGGGCTCAAGCATAACAATTGTGAGAATGGTGTAGGATCGTACAGTGTTTTGTTCTATTGTACATGACATTGTTAGGAGTTGGCAGCAACTCAGGGCACCTAAAAACAACAACTGCTTTCAGCCACAATATACCTGTCATCAGCAGTGATATTCCTTGTTTCATGTCCTCTTCTGAATCTGGCTTGAATTTCTGCAAACATTTTTGAATTATCTTCAGCAAAATCTTACTTGTGTGTGATATTAAGGATATTGTTCTGTAATTTCCACATTCTGTTGGCTCACTTTGGAATGGGCACAAATATGGATGTCATCCAGTCGGTTGGCCAGGTAGCTGTCTTCTAAATTTCTTGGCATAAACGAGTGAGCACCTCCAGTGCTACATCAGTTTGTTGAAACATCTCAATTGATATTCCGTCAGTTCCTGGAACCTTGTTTTCACCAATGCCTTCGGTGCATCTTGAACTTCTTTCAATATTGTTGGTTCTTGATCATATGCTACCACCTGAAATGGTTGAATGTCGACCAGTTCTTTTTGGTACGGTAACTCTGTGTCTTCCTTCCATCTTCTTCTGATGCTTCCTACATTGTTCAGTATTTTGCTCATACAATCCTTGAAAATCGCAGCTCGAGGCTTGAATTTTTTCTTCAGTTCTTTCAGCTTGAGAAATGCCGATCATGTTCTTCCCTTCTGGTTTTCTAACTCCAGGTCTTTGCACATGTCATTATAATACTTTACTTTGTCTTCTCGAGCCGCCCTTTGAAATCTTCTGTTCAGCTCTTTTACTTCATCATTTCTACCATTTGCTTTAGCTGCTCTACGTTCAAGAGCAAGTTTCAGAGTCTCTTCTGACATCTATTTTGGTCTTTTCTTTCTTTCCTGTCTTTTTAATGACCTTTTCCTTTCTTCATGTATGATGTCCTTGATGACATCCTATAGCTTGTCTGGTCTTCAGTCATTAGTGTTCCGTGCATCAAATCTCTTCTTGAGATGGTCTCCAAATTCAGGTGGGATATTCTCAGGGTTGTATTTTGGCTCTCGCAGATTTAATTTTCTTCAGCTTCAACTTAAACTTGCATATGAGCAATTGATGATCTCTTCTGCAGTCGGCCTCTGGCCTTTTTATGAGTGATAATATTAAGCTTTTTTATCGTCGCTTTCCACAGGCGTAGTTGATTTGATTTCTGTGTTTTCCATCTGATGAGGTCCATGTGTATAGTCGTCATTTATGTTGTTGAAAAAAGGTATTAGCAATGAATAAGTCATTTGTCTTGCAAAATTCTGTCATGCAATCGCCAATGTTGTTTCTGTCACCAAGGGCATATTTTCCAACTACCGATCTTTGTTTCCAACTTTCACATTCCAATCACCAGTAATTATCAGTGCATCTTAATTGCATGTTTGATCAGCTTCAAACTGCTGAAGGTGGTAAAATTCTTCAATTTCCTCATCTTTGACATTAGTGATTGGTGTGTAAATTTAAATAATAGTCATATTAACTGTTCTTCCTTATAGGTATATGAGTATTATCCTATCACTGACAGCATTGTACTTCAGGATAGATCTTGAAATGTTCTTTTTAACAATGAGTGAGACCCCCATTCCTCTTTAATTTGTCATTCCCAGCATACTAGACCATATGATTGTCCGATTTAAAATGGCCAATACCAGTCCATTTCAGCTCTCTAATGCCTAGGATATCTATCTTTATGCATTCCATTTCATTTTTGATGACTTCCAGTTTTCCTAGGTTCATACTTTGTACACTTCACATTCTGATTATTAATGGATGTTTGCAGCTATTTCTTCTAATTCTGAGTCGTGTCACATCAGCAAATGAAGGTCCTGAAAGCTTGACTTCATCTATGTCATTAAGTCGACTCTACTTTAAGAAGGTAGCTCTTCCCCAGTCGTATTTTGAGTGCCTTCCTACCTGAGGGGCTCATCTTCCAGCACTATATCAGACAGTGTTCCGCTACTGTTCATAAGGTTTTCACTGGCCAATTTTTTCAGAAGTAGGCTTCCAGGTCCTTCTTCCTAGTCTGTCTTAGCCTGGAAGCTCCTTTGAAACCTTCCACTGCGGGTGACCCTGCTGGTATTTGAAATACTGGTGGCATAGCTTCCAGCATCACAGTAGCACAGCAACGCACAAACCACCACAGCATGGCAAACTGACAGATGCATGAATCTATAATGCTTTGTAGTTTCCAGCATTTGTTCGGATATTAGGTTAGATAGAGAGGCAATACTAGAACCCGATGCTCTGCTTTTTATAATATATCAGTATATCCTTAGCCCTTAAAGAAATGGGCCACGTTATCAGTTAGAATAGCATTTCTCTATCTTTTTAAAAACTACATTTGAAAATGTCATCCAAAATCTTTGTATAAGATCTAAATAAATTACTTCTTTCGTGTAGTTCTTATAAATCATTTTTCTATGTGGCAGGGGTTGCAGATACATTTATATTAAACTCCTTTCGAAGACCAGTTTTGTAACATCTTTGTTGAGGATTGATGGGCCTTGTTGTGACCATATCTGGCTTAAGTGCATTTAGATTCAGATGTATTTGAAAATACTGTGTCTGCCAAACAAAACACATTTGCAAACTGAATCCAATTCTCAGGCCAAGAGATATCAACCCTTGGTCTTTAGAGACAAATGTCAGTGTTGTCTCTATTCTGTTTTTGGAGCCCTGGTGACACAGTGGTTAAAAGCTCAGCTGCTAACCAAAAGGTTGGCAATTCAAATTCACCAGCCGCTCCTTGGAAACCCTATGGGGGAGTTCTACTCTGTCCTGTAGGGTTGCTATAAGTTAGAATCGACTTGACGGAAATGGGTATTCTGTTTATATCTGTCATTATCCAGTTTTTTACTTTTAGTTTTGTAAGCCACCCGAAATTTTAAGCAGATACTATAAAAATAAATTGTAAACAATTGGATCCAGTATTGCTGTTTAATAATTATATGTATGATATAAAAATATGTAATTGTTTTCCTCCTCTTTGGTAGTTGACAAAGATTTATTTTTAAGGTATGTATATATAATATGTGTGAATGTAAAAATGAGAGAATATATTATTAAAGTGATGGAGAGTTAAAAAAGGAAATCAGTAATTTTCATCAGTGTTTTTTTAAATACTCTCAGCCAAGTTACTTAATAATAATTGCGAAGCTCTTTACCTTTTTGGATGAGAGTGAAATGTTTTTTGACTTTTTATTGTGGAAAATTTTAAACATGTTCAAAGGTGGAGAAAATAGCATAAATTCTTCTATATTTATTATTCAACCTGAATAATTATAAACTTGTGGCCAGTTTGATTTCATCTATAAATATGATAACCATATTTATCATCTAAAAGGAAATGCTCACAACCTGTACAAGGAAAGGTCATGGAAGCCCCATAGACACATCCAAACTCCCTGAGGGACTGAATTGCTGGGCGGAGGGCTGTGGGGACCATGGTCTC